TTCCTTCCTTCCTTCCTTCCTTCCTTCCTTCCTTCCTTCCTTCCTTCCTTCCTTCTTCCAACAATAAAACATCCAACATCTCAATAATGCTTATTGCATTAACTCTGGCTTTAATTTTAAATTGAACTAATATTATCCTTAACAACAATAAATGTAAGTTTAAAATTAATTTCAAATATTGGATTTAGAAGTTGTGCTTAACTTTAAACACATTGACTGGATGCTATGAAAATTACAATTAAAATAAGAAAGGGGATTTTAGAAAGGAGAAAGAATTGATGTCCTTATGTCTCTGAGAATGACCTCCTATTTTATCATCCCAGGTGAGGAAAAGCCAGGGTTGTGACTGCACTGACTGCTGAAATATTTTGTATTTGTAACATGGCTTTTGTTATTATAATTCTGAAATATTAGTAACTTTAAAACGATGACTTTAATGGGCATTCCATTAATCTGCTGATTAATTTTTCATTTTTTCTGTGTCTTTTAGGTGAAGAATAATGACACTATAGTTTACTACAATGTAATCAAGACATCCAACTCTGATTATATTATTACAAGAAAGAAAAACTTTCAATTTCATGTTTTGTGTGAAATGAAGCAGAACACTGTTGTAGAGACTATGTTTGTTGCTCAAAATGCAATTGACATTATTCAAAAGCAAACTGGCCATTACAATGTATCTCTGGCATTCTATTCATCATTATCATTCACTGATAAAATTAGAACATCACCATACTATGTTTCACTCAACCAGAATTTATATCTCCAAGCGACTCTTCACAGTTCTGATCCAAAACTTGTACTATTTCTAGACACCTGTATCGCATCTCCAACAAATAATGATTTTACAACCCTGACCTATGACTTAATCAGAAGTGGGTAAGTATGTATTAAATATATAACAACCGTAACCTAAGTTGTGCCCCAGAAAAATTGCTGTTGTCTCAGCCACATAAATTCTAAATTAGATTTCCTTCTTATGTCATATTTCTTAAGTCAGTATAGAAAGAACTACAGGGCTCATCTGAAAATTACAGTTACCTCATTTTAAACAAAACAGTGCTATGTTGCATTAATATCAAATAATTCTTATACAGAAACTGAGGAGAATAAAGGGGCATTATGGGCTGAATGATGTAGACGCAAAATGTATACTAATTACTTGACCAAATTCTCTTTGCATTGTGGTCTATTTCATACACTTTGTACAAAAATAATTATTACTACAGGGCCATTGTCTTGCTATTACTTTATAGTCCTCTGTACTAATAACATATTACTTTCCCTCCCAATTACAAATCTTGAGGTGCTTTCACAAGCCTCAAATTTGGGTTTCATTTATTCCTTCTGATATCCCAATTATCATTGGTTTTTCCTATCATTCTTTAGTACTCAACAGAGTCCATCTACTACAGAAATTTAGTAATTACACACATAATTACACTGTGATAAAGTATTTGAAGTGAATATCTAGGCATACCTGACACCACAATTTCTTTTATTTTTCAGATGTCCACGAGACTTTACTTACAGAAACCTGTACTCACCAAGGAACAACATTGTTCGTTTCCAATTCAACTCCTTTAAGTTCCTTAACCAGCACAATGCAGTTTATATACGATGTAAATTAGTAGTGTGTAGGGCAGATGATCGTTCATCCCGATGCTACCAAGGATGCTTAATTAGAAAAAAGAGAGATACGGATGATCAGGAGAATGTAGATGTTATTGTGGGACCACTCAAGCTTCAGAAAGATGTGAATGGAGTTCAAAAATAGGGTAATTTTTCCATTTGAATATGTTTCCTGGTTATAATTATGAAAGCTAGATAGGTACCTATAAAAATAATCATACCCATGTTGCTCCATGGGGAAAACATCTCAAATCCATAGCTGAATGCTATCTTTCTTACAACCAACTAAAATGTAATGAAATAATGAAACAACTTTTTTTTTAAAGTTCTTCAGAGCTCTTAATCAGGCAATATTAAGGGATAGGGAAAAGGAAGGTTAGTCTAAACAGCATTTTACGTGGGCATTGTCTTTATTTTTATGGCTCTTCCTAAGCAGTTAAATGGTCATCCTGACACCAATATATCATGATATAAACAGGCTGTTTAATTTCATGAAGCACTTTATGTAAAGATGCTAAAGTCCACTTGAAGTTTGTGTTTCTCATGGTGATCACAGTCTTAAGTAAATGTTTGTGAATCTACCAATAGCATATTCTAATTAAAACCATTAGTTCTATCCAAATAATTTTAATATTTGGCACTGGAAAAAAGCTATTTTTAAAATGTCCTATTTTCTACATGTTTTGCCATTCTCATTTGATTAAAGTCTGACACAGAGTATATACCAGTTCTGATAACCAACTTACACAGAAATAATATGCGCCTGCATTTCATATGTAAAGGATGCATACATATATCATATTATTGTAGCATTCCTTCTTGCTCTGAAAAGCAAAATAATTACTTTAACCAACTATATTTGAGAATGATTTCAGATTATCTTTCTTTCTCCCACACCAATACCACTTAAGTGGCAGCTTTGCTGTCAGAGAAATTGAATGGTACATTCAAACTTGGTCAGACTTTTGATACAAAGAATAATTTGATGACCCTTTAGCCTTCAACAGAGTCCAACATGGGGGCTGCTAAACTAATGGGGAAAAAGTATAATTTTTAAAGAACTCCTAAAGATGGATGAGCTACAAAAGTGAAGACCTTTAGAATTCCATGCTGTATATATGAATAGAAGAACTTTGTCACTAAATTAATCTCAAATTATAGGAAATTGTATTTTGCTTCCAATACATTACAATAAAACTGCTTCATCTTTGCAAACTAAGAGTGAGCTTACTATTTTGGTGAAGGGGTGAGTACTTCTGCAGAAAAACCATTTGACCTACGAATTCCAGAAAGGAGCCCTTTGCATTAGTATACTTATTTTTATTTAAAGATTCCTGTCCCACTTTGGTCTCATAAAACAGTCCGAAAGAAAGATACAATATATGTTAAATTTTACGAGAAATTAAATAACATTTCACACACACACAAAAAAACCCCTCTGAAAACCAGAAGAATATTTTGGGAAACCTAAAAATATCCACCTCTTCAAAATAATAAAATACCAAAAAGTGTACAAAAAATATGCAGGACAAAAGCTCCCATTACAGAGAACTTCAGATTAAAAAAAACTAAAAGATACACAAGCCACATTTGACCACAAGCCTTGGAAGAAAGGATGTATTTTGAACTGGAAACAAGCATCTATAACATTAAGAGTCAACTGTAACAGAATAGGCAGGGAATTCAATAGGCTTGGTATCAAGAATGGCTTTTCTCAGGTGGCAGCATCAAATTTCTAGCAGATTAGTACTCTCAAAAAGATCTAAATGCCTGGTCAGATACATAAGACAGAAGGAGCTATAATCAGGTCCTAACACACATATAGATTTGTAAATCGTCACAGTCACACTGAACATAGTTCAGCAGCAAACTGGAAATTGGCGCAGCTCCTCCAGAAAAAAATGTTGCTGTAATGCCTGCATTATACAGTTTTTTGATTGAACTTAAGAGTGGCCCCCAACTACAGCAAATTGCTTTAATCCAACATAGATTTAGACACTGTGGCCAGGCAACCTGTGTCTGAAAATAGTCAAAGCTTGGGCTTCCCTTCACTTCTGAACTTCCTCTTCATAAATGCTTCCTTCACTTCACTTTGAAGCCTCTTCCTGGAGTTCCAGTAAGTTATTAGAAATATTGAAATAGGCTTCTGCTCATGCACAACACTTAGGAACTTGGAATCAAGACTTGGAGGCAATCCAATCTTATCAAAGCAAACTGTGTTGCCTTAAGATGAATCACAGATCATCTTGTCAAGGCAAATCCAAGCCGTCTAATTCTGGTGATCTACTTATAGTAGAAAAAAGACATCCCTTCTCATGGAGTATAGTTCAGTGAAAGTAATGCCTCAACATTCATTTCAAGATTATGTAAATGCTTTTTGATGCAATTGCCAAACCTTTCACCCAGAAACTCTTCCAGAGTATTCTGAAATTCACAAATCCTTATAAGTGGATCATTCTAAAGGACACCTCACTACTACAAGTGAGTCTGATGGCTATCAATCCAATCCTCACCAGAAAATAATTTGACTGTGACAACAGAGTGATGACAAATTCTTCCCATTCAGTTTTTACACAGTGCTTAAAGATGAAATCATGAGGGTGCTTTGCTTTATGCCCTGTGCTGATGACATATACTGAGACTAATGACATATTAAAATTACCCATGGTTGTCATGGAAGTCATGAGGTCCTCAGATGGAGGTGTCAAAGAAGCCACATGTGAATGCTTCTGAGTCTTGAAGAACCTCGGATTCTCTACATCATATAATAATCCTGGCTAGCTCAGATAGAGAGGCTGTTAGGCAATGGGACAGACAATGTATCAACAAATGTTCATGTTGCTCCTATAACCTTACTTTAGATGTGTCAAATCCTTCAGTGAAGCAGAAGAGTCTTCAGATAAGACTAGTAAACCACAACCATTCTTCTGAAGTCCTCTAGTCTGAGCTTGTATTGCTATCAAATACCCAAGTAGGCAGAGCTAAGTTAAACCAACTATACAGCAGCTATATTTTCTCATCCACCAATTAAATCTTAAATGATAAATTGAGCTTACCTGACATTCACTAATAGAATCATTAGACAAGCTGATTGGATGGCATAGACTCTGATACACGAAGGAAGAGTGACCAGAGGGACAGCTCCATTTTCTCTAATTTCTGCACACCTGTCCAACTTTTGATGCCATCACTCCCCTTGATTTCTTCAGTTTGAATTGTGTTATTTGCCCAAACTCATTACAAATCATACAACAAAATTTATATATGTGCACGCACACGCACACACACACATGTACAGATACACAGACACAGAGAGAGAGATTATCATATGAAAGGGGTGGGAGAAAAAAATATTCTAACTCTCAGATTTACAGTCATTAGTATTACTTCAACAATGTAACAACAATGAAAGAGTCACTTTCATTACACCCCCACAACCTTTCAGAATTTCCAGAGACTTTTCAAGTAGTCAGTCTCTAACTTAGGTTCAGTCAAGCTCTCATCTTGGTTCAAATCAACATGGCAAATCATGTTGTCATCATGGGCTGTCTTCTCAAAGAGGTGCTGGAAAGACTAAAAAAAAAATCCAAATTTTCCAGTAGATACAATATCCTGATTATGGCTATCTTCATAAATGTACATACTATATCACAGGCCTTATAGCCTAATATGTGCACATTTTTGCTTTATTTATAATAATAATAATAGTGAAAGCAAAACAGTGGTGAAAAGGAAAAATATGGACATTTCACATTATATAGGTATCAACAAACCATGTAGAGTGAATTAACAGTTTGTAACAAACTCTATATTATATTTGTTAAAACATATTAACATACATATATTAATATAGTATTAATATTTATTTACACAAAAATAAGAGAAAATATTAGAAAGGGAAGAAAAAAAATGAAAAAGTTATTTTAAGCAAAACAACTCAAGAATATTGCTCCTCTATCAAAGAAGGCTAATTCTTAGGTTTGTGAACAGTACATATCAACAATTCACTCCAGTAAAATAAAGGTGGATAGGGCTAGTAACATCAATCACTGAGATCATCTTCATGGAGAGGAAAGAAGAAAAGTCATATAGCTTTGTTTCAAAGTCCATGTTTAGACAAATGAATATTTCCATCACCAACAAGATCGCCACTGGTCTGTGTGATTTAAGAGTGAGATTCCAAGCAAACTGTATAAGAGAAATGCATGGGAACCCATCCTCACGGTTTTCAAAGCAGAAACCTTTTCTTTGTCTTTCTAAGTCTGTCTCCCTTAGAAATCTTGAGACTGATAAATGGAAGCAGCCCTTGTGAAAATCCATTTTAAGTATATCATGATGGTAGCTGGGGAAGCATCTGTGATGATGCTTTGACTTGAACGATGCACAGGTCATATGCAGAGAGGTTGGGTGGGTGTTTTAAGTTTCAGTGACCACATGATGGTTTCATTCTCACTGGGATTCATCAGATGTGGGTAGCCAGATGTTATTCTATGAGACCCTATCAAACCCTCCAGCAGGAACTGAAGTCATGAGCCTTCACATATTAGATGACTATACACAGGGCATTAGCTTTAGGAGCTACCCAGTCCTGGTCCTCAGTGGTTGCAGCGAAGGAATATCTAGAAGCTACCAGAAGGGTATATACAGTCCATTTTCCCTTAAGTTCTCAAAGCACAGAAACAGAGAGAGGGGACATTATATCATGCCCCCATGTATGGGGCTTTAATGACTTCCACCATCACCCTTGGACAGGGAGGGGAGTTCTCTACTTTTACATAGAGTATAACTTGTACACAGGTTGTATACAGAGAGATTGGGTGTGGACCCATTTCATTGGCTCCCATTCTGTTAATCTAAAGTGGCTGGCCAGGTAGTATATGGAGGAATATGTTTATTTACTATTGCCAGTTGAGAGTCCCACTTCAGTAAGAGGATGATGAGTAGGGATGGTAACAGCTTTGATTGATCTTGGTCTTCTTTCTTTTCCTTGCTCCACAGTCACAGTCTCCAGTATCCAGATTTTCAAGGATCTGATTCTGTGACTGTGGAATCAGCTCCCTTCTTCCCTTTATTCTTTCCAAAGGTGATAGCTTTTAAAGAATTTAAATTCCTTTCTATTGCTCTAGTGTATCACTGTAAGACTCGGTTATGCTCTTTTAAAAATCTGTTTTTATGGATATGTATGCTCTCTGAAATATCATAGGGCATTGTTTTAAATACTTACAGGTATTATGTTTCATTTGTCTTGATTATTAATATTTATTTACTAAAACTGTGAACTAATTCAGTTGAATAGGATTATGGAGGAGGAGGAGGAGGAGGAGGAGGAGGAGGAGGAGGAGTTGTTGTTGTTGTTGTTGTTGTTGTTTCACTGTTAGATTTATCCAGGTTATATGGAATAAGGTTATGATGGCTATGGCTGGAGTAATGTTCCAATAGTTCCATTTCAAAGAACATTCAAATTGTAATTGCTATTATGAATTCAGGCTAATATTACCATTTGGACTGTATGCTTTAAAAGTTAGCTTTTATGTAGGAGCCTATGAGAAAAATGCTTACTACATATATCCTGTCCTAACAGTTTTGATAATATGCAGTGTGTTCTTCTTGATGAAAAAGTGTTTTTAATTGGCAAATAGTAGCTATTTGGAGCCAATTCACTCATGTAGCTTGTGCTTCTCTAGGCAATTCAAGTAATCTCTGGTAGTTGGATGCCATTTCAGAAAAATAATTTTACTTATATCATGATAAGTTACCTGGTTTGATACTAGGGATGTAAATTTCGTAGAATTAGCTGACTTATTGTAGTGGTTAATTTTAAATCTTGTTAAAATACAAATTACCCCCCACCCCCAAATATTTAATTTTCTAGATTCCAACAGTACCATCTACTGGAACTTAAAACTCATGACAAATACATCTAAGCAACAGTTTCTATTTTGCTCTTGTAGTTTAAAAAAACAAACAAACCTCCAAATCCAAAGTACATTAAAAACAAACATTGAGTAAGACCTGGCAGTTTAAATTCAGTTCCTCTATTTTCCACATTTCAATCTGTACTTAAAAAAAAACAAAACAGGTTGATATCAAGTTCTTTCTTAAAGTAAATTTTATTATGCAGCTCGTCAGATGACATGTTCCTCATGCTGATTTCTCGCTACACTCTAAAAATCAAATGCTCAATTAACTGAGAAATAATTGATAGC